TAGTGAGCTATAAAGGTACACTGTAATTTAGAGCTTATTAACTTACTCAGTCAAAAAAAGCCCACAGGTATCAGCTGTAGTCATCATCCTACCTACCTCAGGTAGCATTCTATCAATAAACCAAAATCAGCAATTTTCAACTGTTTGCATATTTTTCTTCCCATCTTTCTAATTGAGATCAGCTCCATAAAAAGGTTTCTTTCCCTTAATTTGATGAGAAAACTAACTTGAAGATGTCAAACAGAAAGGCAAAAAGACATATGATAATTCATTGATGCAGTTCAAAGGTGCTACATAAAACACGTAAACAGGTTTCATCACTGAAGGCTGATCCCTTTTCCACTGTAGAACTTGAGTCACTTTCTTTTTTTGGAGAAAAAAAAAATTGTGTTAGTGTTCCCTTGAACATGCTTTGTTTGCTTCATATATAAATCCTATTCACTGGACAAACTTTTTTTTGCAAAGAGTTTATAAAATTCATAGAATCTCAACACTGCTGGCACATTCACTTGAACCCCTTATTATCAAAATTATCCTCATGTCCCTCATTACCCAAGAATAATCAAGCTTACTTGTACTGAAAATAAAGTATTTAGATGGTAATAATATCTATTTAAATTTGTCCTAATTTAATAAAAGTATTTTATTACAGAGAAAAATATAATCAGGTGACAGTACAAAAGTTAAGAAAAATTTATCAGTGTTAATTAATGCTTGAAGGTAGAATTATGTTTCTTTCAATTGGACCCATTAAAGGGGCTTTAATACAGATTTGCACAGCAAGCTGAAGATTTTCAAGTGCAGATAATGAGGCAAGCTAGTACTATTTTAACCCCTCTAGAGTATAATCAGTTGATAAGGTTTTGAAACGTTACAAGGTCTAGGACAAAAAGATTAGCTTTAGTTCTTCCAGATCAAAATTGAAACCTAATTAATTAACAATGTTATAAGAAAAGGTTTACTGCTATTTTTACATGTCTTTAATGTCATCTTCTAAAGAAAACAGGTTAAGATATTTTAATTTATCCATTGTGTGAATGGCAGAGGACTGTTCCCTGCTCCGACACTATCTGCTAAACTAATTGTTTGAATTTAAAAATTTCACACATTCCTCAAAAACCTCACCTTATTTTTTGAGGAAAAAACAGCATCAGTGATCTACTTAAGATACACACAATTATTATAAATTAAATACAACAGCTTAAAAATGTTTCCAAATAAAAAAGACAATGAAAACATTTCTGCAGCAATTTATTTATCAGACTTCAGAAGAAGTAAAATTCTAAGACAGTGTCCTAGCCACTTAAACATAGCAGTTAGAAATTATTTTCCTTGAAACAGAGAAGTGATGCATACCATGTCAGGGATACATAACTGCTGAGAAAAGAGTTTTGAGCCACTGCATAAAACAAAAATAACAGCAAAAAAATCAGTATAGCAGTCTAGACACTAATCTCAAAGGTTTAAGATTTTTACCACACCACTTTTAAAATAAATATATCTATATGCCAGATGAAGCCCAGTTGTGACTATCAGGAACAAAAGTTACCAATAAACCAATTAAAAAAACAAAAAAAATTAAGTGAAAAGTACAATGGAAAACACAAATACAATATTTTCTGTGCCGAATTTATGGGCAGTAATAGACAAGAATAATCGTATGTGCTTTAACAAATTTGAGTTTTTGAACGGTACACCTTGAAATGCTCCACACTAACTCATATTTAAAATGTTTAACACAATATGGAGTTATGCAATAAACTCATGACAAGAAAAAGGTCTTATTCATGAATATAAAACTGAAGATTACAACACCATATCTTAGGAGAGGTGAAAAACTGAAGTTGTATTAAGTAAATGGAAGTTCAGTGCATATACTGTAGCCCAAAGATACTGGACAGCAGAAGTTTTGAAAAATTATGATTTACACTTTTATTCCTAAAGCCTCAAGTCTCATTTTCATGAGTAACTGAGCACTTTTCTTCACTGCTAGATTACAAAAATGTGATTAAAGACCATATTACTTCTCAATCATAGTTTCCAAATTTATTATTTTACTTGATTTTCAGTAGTACCCATTAAAAATCTCATTAATAATGATTATTAATGAAATATATAATGATATTCCATTAATAATGAAATACCTCATTACAAATTAAGCTCATTTAGCTTTCAGTATGAGGTAACTATGTGGATGTATCTTATCTAGGCTGTGGAGAATATGCTGTCGTATCTATAGAAATTTTAGAAGTCCTTTTAGGTATGTCAGGATAAAGTCTAAGCACAATACAAGACAAGAAATATGATCTCATGTTCTCCTTATACAGCTTTCTAGTTACTTCTAGACACAATAGAAGCTTACATTTATGTCAAATTATGAGAAAGCTGATTGATTTTTCTTTTTTCCCTCACTCAGCATTAATTTACACAATCAGCTTTTTGGTGGCCACTCAGAAATTCTTAGATAATAAACCCTACAACAAATTATCTTGTTCCAACTGTTATCTCTGTATGATGCATGAAGGGGAAGAAAAAAACAACAGAAGACATCACTGGTTAATCTCAACTTCCTAGATGTAAAAAATTTGTAGACTGAAATACACAGCCTTCAAGTCTTTCTGTCTGTACTTTACAGAAAAGAACACTCATTACCATTACTGTCAAAATGCACATTTTCACAAGCAATCTATTTGCATGTTAATTACATAAATAGTATCTTTTCCTCCTTAGATGAACAAACAAGGAGCACATTCAGAAAAACAAAATAAATAAGAACACTACATTGTTTTTTAAGCCAGCTCCATTCTTTGATACCAAATCACTAAAACCTTGGACTCGGGAAACAATCCCTCTCTTGCTTCAACCCTACAGCATTCCAGCCAAGGGATGAGGCAAGAAGGTCAGAATGACATCACCTCTGTACACTGTTTTCACAAACAGCACTGGCACCATCTGGTGCCCTTCACAACCTGTCCCCCCAGCTCAATGATACTCTAAGGGAAGCTAATTGTAAGGGCTGCATTAGAGTTGTCAGGATCATCAAAACAACTTCTGTTCTCCTCATCTGTTAGAATCACTGAATCACAGAATATCCTGGTTTGGAAGCAACCCCCAAAGATCATTAAGCCCCACTCCTGGCTGTGCACAGAACAAACTAGAATTACACCATGTGTGAATCACACAATGCCTGAGAGCGTTGTACGAACGCTTCTTGAACTCTGGCAAGTTTAGTGCAATGGCCACTTCCCAGTGCCCAACCACTCTCGGGGTAAAGAAACTTTTCCTAATATCCAACCCAAACCTACCCTGACATCTCCAAGCCAAACCCTTGGAACCTGTCACTGGTCATCAGAGGGAAGAGATCAATGTCTGCCCCTCCTCTTTCCCCTTATAAGGCAGTTATAAACCACAGTGAGATTGCAGATGGTCCCTCAGTCTCCTCCTCACCAAGCTGAACAAGCCAAGTGACCTCAGTCACCTGTGTCCTCCTCTCAAGGGGGCTTCCCCTCAAGGCCCTTCATCTTCATTGTTATGGTACCCAAACCAGCCCCCAGCACTGGAGGTGAGGCTGCCCCAGCTCAGAGCAGAGCAGGACAATCCCCTCCCTTGCCTGGCTGGTGATGCTGTGCCTGATGTCCCCCAGGACAGGGTTGTCCCTCCTGGCTGTCAGGGCACTGCTGGCTCATGTTCAGTTTTCTGTAAACAAGGATCCCTGTATTTTCTGTGGGGCTACTCTCCAACCTCTCATTTCCAAGTTTGTATGTATATCCAGAGTTTTATCATCCTGTTGACAAACTCTTCTTTCCTGGCTGCCAGTTTTCCATGGTTCTAGTTACAATTTACCAGCCTCTCTCTATTTCCACATGGATGATGTAAACACATTACACCATCAATTTTAGATTTCTGATCAATTACAGTTTCAGCTTCTGAAACTGATCTGAAAGCAACCTCATGGAGATGCACATCCCAAGTTCAGATGCTGCCACAGCAGGCAGCCTTCTTAAAAACACAGTACAGCATGCATATTCCTATAAAGGTCTTCACAGTATTTTGCCTTTCACATAAGGACAGGATAGACAGGATATAAATGCAGGAATCACACATTGTTGGCTTCTAAATATGATCTGTGTGTATGCACCAAACACCATACACACCATACCTACAGTCATGAGGATGATATACCACACTGAAACTTCAGCCACTGTTGTAATACAAAATGAAAGTTTATTTAATAAGTAACAGTATTTTAATTTGATTTATTTATATTTTATATACTGTATTATTTTATAGATATTTACGTATTTCATAGATCTATATATTATATGCAATATAACATTATATTATATAATATATATTAAATATTGGATATAATTCTATAAAATATAAAGTATATAATATAGATTATACATGGGATACAGATAATATTTTATATATACATCATACAGTCTCTATAATAAACAATTATATAATAAAATATCATGTATTTATTGTACTTCATATAATATATAACGTATGTATGTTTTCTATGTATTTGTTTAACTATGAACTAATTCAGAAATAAATAAAAGGAGAAACACCACCAATACTGTGGTGGGTTTTTTTTAGGCAGAAGGTGCAGCAGGTTAATTATTTTGTGCTTGTTAGGATGGCAAATCTTACCAAGATGTGCATGGGCACATTACAAACTTGAACATATTCAGAGCTCTTCTAGACTTAAATCCAAGTTTAGGTTGGACCATAGGGTAAGATGAGGCAATGAACTGACAAGATTTTTCAGAAGAAGTTTAATCTAAAATAACATAAACTTTTTGGGTAACAGATCAACTGTCTGAACAATGCAGAAGAGCTTAAATAATACTTCATTAGGAATTTATCATCTCTAAATCATCTGCAACTTTTTTCTGAAGACACAATAGCAAATAATTTTCTCAATTTAGCAAACATAAATATGTTGTCAATGACAAGATTTTTTAACTGCTCTATTAAAACATAATATGAACCTGTTCTAGAGATTTTATTTTGCTGTCTTTGGCTTGCAAAATCTCTAAAATACTTCTGTCCTTGACTTTAGCTTTCTGTTTTTCTCTGGAAACAAACAAAAAAATAGACACTTTATTAGTCATAATTTGGTGTTAATCATTTGAATTTTTCATGTCCTGATAATGAATGTCATTTTAAAGTGCAGAAAATTAAATTATCTGAAGCTGACAGGCCCTGCAGAATTAATCAGGGAGCATATGGCAAGTGACAGCAAATTACATCTGTAAACATCTAATGCAGCTTTGTTCAAAAAGAAACAGAAATAAGAGATCTTAATATTTTTAAAGCAGCTGAAATTATCTGTCTCTCATTCTTTCCCACACAGAAAGTGTACTTGAACACAGAATGAGCAAAATGCTTTTGTCCCTTCTTTGCAATATAGAATCACCAAGCTATTTGAGTTTATGAAGTCCTTATCTCTATTACATGGCATTTTTCTGTCTGAAACAATGCTTTTGAACATCATGGATAATTATTTTACTATATTCCACAGGGATAGAATGTGCAACTTTTACCTGCAGAAAAAAAAAAAAAGCTCAGAAGCTTGAGTAAGGGGGATGAACAAAGCCACTTTATGTGGTTAATAAGTGCACATCTATTATCATCCCTGTGACACTTTGCTTTGTTTAACAAAGTACCTCATCTGCTTTCTTATTTCTTAACTGAGTTCAAATACTGATGCCCTTGCTGGTTTCCATTTTAGGAAGAAAGAGAACAAATGTTGCAAGAGTAAGGATATTCACATTCCTAAGTGTAAGTCACAGTTCTTATCACATATGTGTGACTAAAGGGCTGAAAAATATATATTCCCTAAAAATGTCCAAACATTTCAGGCAATCCCAGCACCACAGGTGACAGAAGCAGAAACTCATTCAGATTATCCTTGTTCTCACAATACAGTTAAAACTTTCATCATGGGTGGTATCAGCCACCTATGGAAGCTAGAGAATCCTACTAGTGCAACTACCAAATAAGGAATGTTTCAGAGCTGGAAGGGAATGAAATACTAGTACACATGAGTCTGTAAATCTGATCTAAAGTGGATGAAAATATCCAGCTGTATGCAAAAGGCTTGATATGCCAGTGGGCCAATTAACAAAGAATCCACAACTCTCCCTTGGAGGGAAAGCTCCTAGACAAGTTCCTTCATTGCTGGGGCAACAAAATGAGTTTTGCAAATTTTATGTACTCCATGTAATTCTATGTACCCCACTGGTCCTTCCCCATTGCTCCGCCCCGAACCCTCAGCTGACTAGTCCTGATGTCCCCATATAAACCCTCGTTTCCCTCTGACTATCCAGTCTTTCATCCCTGACCCCTTCACGGTAGCTGGCATTCTCCTCATCCCTGGACCAAGAACAAAGGCTCCTTGTAGAACACCACAGGAGGCTCCTGTCCCTCCTTCCGTGTTGCCCAAAGAGCTGCAATCACCCAACAGCCCTTTTCAAGGCTGAGAGCTGAGATCGCTCTCAGCAGGGTAGGGAGTGTCTGTGCCCTCGAGAGTGTCCTTCAAGGACATTTCTCTGGGAAGGTCATGGCACCCAGACTGCCCAGACCGTGACAGCTGGCAACCGAACATGGACCTCTGTCAGAAGTTTCCCTGAGAAGCATCTCCTCCAGCTTTCAGCTGCAGGACACAAGCCACTTTTGGGTTAGCCAGCTCCCTGAGGAGAACCCTTCCTATTCTACGGAAAGCTATCCAAGGGATGACCGGACCCTCGCTGAGGCCTTCTGGGGAGGATAGGAGAAGAGATCCCCCGAAGACCAGTTGACGGACCAGCAACCCTACAGATTTCTGTTGACCCAGAGGGCTTCATGCTGCCTGTAGAAAAATTGTGAGTTGTTATACTGGGGTCTTTTCTGTTTTCCTTTTCCTGTTGGGTGTGGGAGTGAAGAACTGAGGATGGGAAACAAACTGAGCCATCCTAAGCTCAGCCCTCCTCAGAGGTATTTTTATTACCAAGTTGTGGGAACCCTTGCTGTGGCAGAATTTAAGTTTTCTAAGGGTAACTAAAGAGATTTGTTCATTGGGTTTTTAAATATTTTCTTAATGTTACAAAGGATTCTATGCTCTTGGGGGAGTTTTGAGGCAACGTTGGGACAAAATTATAAAACATTCAAGTGGGTGGTGATTTATCGGTGGCAAAGTTCTTTTCTTTAGCTCATATTATCATTAAGTCAGTTGAAAAATTCGGGGAATGTTCAGTAAAGGTTCTTCCCCATGTTCCTAAACCCGCTTCACCACGTGAGGGGCAATCTTCAGGAGGTTGTTGTGGTATTGCATAGGACGGCTGCTGATCCCCTGATGCCTCCCGATCCCCTCTCCCCCCACCAGGACAGCACTGGTCAATCTGCCCTAGACCTCCCCTCCTCCTCCACCCTATGCCAATCTACCCACTCCCACCCTTTGCTACTGCTCCACAAAATGGGCTGGCAACATAGCTAGCCCTGCCATTTTGTCACCCCTATGTTCAAGTTTTCCCGCCTCCAACCCTCAAAATGGCCACCTCCCCGTCTCTCCACCACCTTTCTCTGTGCTTCCCACTGCGTCTGGCTCCTCCCTTTTCCTCGCATTGTCAGTGGGTGTAACCACATCAGGACTTCCCCCTATAGCCAGGAACTCCCCTTCCTCGTGGACACCACCCCTTCCGTAAACTCCACCCATTCTGCTATTGGCTTCTCCCCCACTGCCCAACCGCCTTCCGGTTCTCATCCCAGAACCAGAAATGTTAATGGCGGCAACTGGAAGGAAGTCATTCTGGCTTCCACGGCCTCATGCCATCTGGCAGATCTTGTCTGTCCAAAAAGGCCCCACACTCCACTAAAGCACCCTCCATCCTCTTTGGAGGATGAGAGTAGCGAGTCCTCAGACTCAGACTCGAACACCCAGTCTGAGGACCCCTGGGCCAAGACTCAAAGGGAGGCCACCGAGGAGGGAGACTGGGAAGTGGTAAATAAGATCTCTCTGCCTTCCCAGTTGTTCACAAATGCGGGAGAAGGCCAACAGCCAACAATTCCTGGGACTCCATACCCTACAGCGAAATTAAAGAACTAGTTAAGGCGGCAAAGGAACATGGCCGAGGATCCCAGTTTTTCAAAAACTTTATCAAAGCCACCTTCTCCTCACACACATTGGTCCCTCACGACACCAAAAATATGATGAACTATCTCTTTTCCCCAGATGAATAGATGCTGCGGGAATGGCAGTGGGAAAAAAAATCTAAAGTTCTTATCGCACACTTATTCAAAAGATGCCAATAGACCCAGTTTGTCTGTTGAGCAGTTAGCAGGAGAAGGTGACTTTCAAATACCAACTGATCAAGTGAATGCTATACCAGAAGCTGCACTGCAGGAATAGCCACCACAGCCAAAACATCTTAGCTCCTCACCCCCGATGATAACATACCAACACAGCACTTTATTAACATCAAGCAAGGGGTTGATGAAACATTTGTGAAATTTGTAGACTGATTAAAAGTGGTCCTGGAAAAACAACTAGAAAGCCCTGAGAATCAGAAAGATTTGGAAAGAGGTTCTAAACAAAACTGCTCTCACAAATGCTAACATGTAATGCACGGCTTTACCCCTTGACAAGGAACCTACCATTGAACAAACGGTGAGGGCTTACACCAAGAATTCCTCCACCAAAAATACTATGGCAGAGGCAGTTGCCAAAGGCACAGTCACAGGGTGGCAGGAGCCTTTGCTGTGGTTTCCCAAAAAGACGAAGACACATGTTTCTCCTGCAGTGAATTAGGACATTTTCTAAAAGACTGCCCAGAATGGATGGCCCCACAGGACAATTGTAAAAACTATCAGTGGCCCAAGGTACAATTGCCTTATTAGCAGCACTCGGGAAACTTCCAGCACAGGGCGGGATGGCCCCGTGCTACAACAACAAATGGGAAGCTGTCCCACCCCACTCTGCCCACCATTCCGGAACACTAGAAGAATACAACATCGGTTCTGGAGGTTCCTCCACATATGAACTCCACAAACTCAAAGGTTCAGGTGGGAACCCAGCACCAGCTGGTCAGTGTGTTGTCCATTGACTTTTCTGATAAAACTATAAAATTTCAACAGGGAAATCTGTGCCACGTGATGGCCCTTGAAATGTTATTGAGGACTCCATCAATGGGCCAGAACAAATAAACATTTTACCAGAAATTGTAACTATAATCTCAGGGGATGAGATTTTCATCTCATCTCCTGTGTCAACCCACCATGCCAGCTTCCTCAGGGTCAACCTATTGCCCAAGTGTTTTACTACCTCCTGAATATCTGGAACAAGTCCTTCTCAATCCCACCGCGATGTGGACACATATTGTGGGTAACAATAAACTCATGTTAGAGTGTGGCCTGTTCTGTCATGGGGAAAAGATCTCCCATCTAGGGATGACAGACACTGGGGCAGATATCACAATCATTGCCCAGTCTGAAAGGCCACCCACTTAAGAGTTGTGACCTGTGGCTGGTATGATCTCAGAGATTGGGGGTGTTGCGGTTTCTATGTGTAGTGTATGCAGTGTTGTTGAAGGTCCCAAGGGCAAAATGACAACCATCTGGCCATTTGTGGTGAGGGCCCCTATCACGTTGTGGGGCAGAGACTTGTTGTCCCACTGGGGGACTTCCATGCACATTGCCTGTAGGGATTTTTAGTTGGGGCCACTGTAAATCATGCAAACATTACCACTCCTCAACTCACCTGGAAACAAGATCATCCAGTGTGGGTTGACCAGTGGCCCCTTCCCAATAAAAAATTGAGCACTTTGGAAGCCCTCGTAGAAGAGCAACTTGCCAAGGGTCACATCACTGATACCAACAACCCTTGGAATTCCCCTATCTTTGTCCTGAAAAAACCCAGCAAGGATAGGTGGAAGCTCCTCCATGACCTCTGCAAAATCACCAAGGCCATTGAGCACATGGGGTCTCTGCAACCTGGCTTGCTCACACCCACAATGCTGCCTTGGGACTGGAAGATGGCAGTAATTGACATCAAGGACTGACTCTTCAACATTTAACTCCATCCCCGAGATGCCCCCAGG